TCCTCACTTCTGTCAAGCGACTTTGTTACCCACTTTGAAAAAAAGGTTGATGATATTCGCTCTTCTTTTTCTGACTCACCTTTACTCACCGCTGGGTCACCAGACCCTCCTTCCACCAACACACTTACCTCCTTTTCCCCTCTCTCTCCAAGTGAGGTTCTTACCCTCATTACCTCTGCCCGCCCTACCACCTGTCCTCTGGACCCTATCCCTTCAAACCTCCTTCAGACTATCGCTCCTGATATTCTACCGTTTCTCACCCATTTCATCAACACTTCTCTAACTTCTGGTCACTTTCCAAACAGTCTCAAGGAGGCAAGAGTAAACCCTCTCCTAAAGAAACCCACTCTCAACCCGTCTGATGTTATAAACTACATGCCTGTCTCTCTCCTCCCGTTCCTGTCTAAATCACTTGAACGCGCTGTCTTTAAACAACTCTCCTGTTATCTCAATCAGAACAACCTTCTGGATCCGCACCAGTCTGGTTTCAAGGCAGGTCACTCCACAGAAACTGCTCTCATTGCTGTCACGGAGGAACTGCACACTGCCAAAACTGCATCCCTCTCCTCTGTCATCATACTTTTGGACCTGTCTGCTGCATTCGACACGGTGAATCATCAGATCCTCCTTCGCACTCTCCAAAAACTTGGAGTTTCAGGCTCTGCACTTTCCCTCCTCACCTCATACCTGAAAGACCGTACCTACAGGGTGACTTGGAGAGGGTCTGAGTCCGACCCTTGTCAATTAACTACGGGGGTCCCTCAGGGCTCTGTTCTTGGTCCCCTCCTCTTCTCCCTGTACACAAACTCGCTCGGATCAGTCATTAGCCCGCATGGTTTTTCTTACCACTGCTACGCTGACGACACCCAATTAATTCTGTCCTTTCCCCGCTCAGAGACCCAGGTCGTTGCACGCATCTCTGCTTGTCTAGCTGACATCTCTCAGTGGATGTCTGCTCACCACCTCAAGCTCAACCTTGACAAGACTGAGCTGCTCTTCCTCCCGGGAAAAGATTGTCCCACTCTTGACCTAACAATCAACATCGGCACCTCAGTTGTTTCCCCGACTCAGACTGCAAGGAATCTGGGTGTGACCCTAGATAACAACCTGTCCTTCACTGCAAACATCGCTGCTACAACCCGTTGCTGCAGATACACGCTTTACAACATCAGGAAGATACGTCCCCAGCTGACTCAGAAAGCGACTCAGGTTCTGGTCCAGGCTCTCGTCATCTCACGCCTAGACTACTGCAACTCCCTCCTGGCTGGTCTACCTGCATGTGCCATCCGACCTCTGCAGCTCATCCAGAATGCAGCGGCTCGTCTGGTCTTCAACCTTCCTACATTTTCCCACACCACTCCGCTCCTCCGCTCCCTTCACTGGCTTCCGGTAACTGCTAGAATCCACTTCAAGACACTGGTACTTGCTTACCATGCTGCGAATGGATCTGGCCCTTCCTACATCCAGGACATGGTTAAACCGTACACCCCAGCGCGTGCACTACGCTCTGCATCAGCCAAACGACTCATTGCGCCCTCGCTGCGAGGGGGACCCAAGTTCCCATCGGCGAAAACACGTGGGTTTGCTGTCCTGGCTCCAAGATGGTGGAATGAGCTCCCCATTGACATCAGGACGGCAGATAGCTTGCACATCTTCCGGCGCAAACTGAAAAATCATCTCTTTCGACTCCACTTCGAGCGTTAGAACTATTAACGAAGCACTTTTATACTAATAAAGGACTGGCTTATCTAAAGCCAGTTGAGTAGCACTTGAAATGTTTGGCTCTATGAAACCTGATGTACTTATATGATTCTGTTTTCTTCAAGGTTGTGTCTTCCTGGTCGAATGTACTTATTGTAAGTCGCTTTGGATAAAAGCGTCAGCTAAATGCAATGTAATGTAATGTAATATGTAGGGGATAATGTGCAGCGAAGCGGTCATTATGGGGAAAAGAACACCGACAGGCTGATCAGGAGCCCGACGTGAAGTGGAGGGATCTAGATCGGCATGAAGGCACATTATGCAATGTGTACATTATCCCGCTTATTACATGGCCACATTCTCGACAAAGTAACGACATGACTCCCAATATTAATTGAAATGCTTTTATGGATTTAGAAAATGATTTTATTGATTTAAAAAATAGTTGTATTGATTTCAATTGACATGCATCCGCTAAGAAAAATAGTCCGTTGTTACTGTTTGAACTAACGTAGTAACGGCAGGAACTGCTTCGATAGTGTTTTTGAGTAACTTTTTGATTACAGATTTGAAAATGTCGTTGCTTGCTTTAAAAGTAGCACAATTCATTATGTCAAACCTTGGAAAGTATCTAGATATCCCTGCCCTAATGCCAAAGGAACTGCCAACTGAATATGTGTCGCCGTTTGATGTCTATGTCTGGACCGCTGCGTAAAAAGGAGGGTTTCTGCCCCGTTACTTCTCTTCTTACTTCTATAAGAATAAAACACGGAGGACGGAGATCTCTTTTTCTCCCCCTCTTATCCCCGCTGCAGCCTAGCAGCTGATCTCAGAGCACGCTCCCCTCTCCTGCAGGGGGGCGTGGTCAGCTGCAGCTCACAGAATCAGCCCCCTGCAAAAACAGCGCTGGAAAGAGCAAATAGAGCGAAATGAGGCATGGCTAAAATGCAGGATCTGTTTGGTATTTTGAATAAAAAACTATATTTATATACTTTATATAGGTATGGCCCTACAATATATTGTTAAAATATAGCATGATAGGTGTCCTTTAAGTCAGTGAAAATGGACGGACCGTCCTCTCTTTACTTCAATGATTCAGCAAATGTGATGGATTGAAAGCTTCCCTGTGTGAGATTGAGCGTGTAGAGTGGCCAAACCTTGACCATAAGCACACACACACAACTCAGTCACACACACACACACACACACACACACACACACACACACACACACACACAGCTGTGGGATTGTCATTAGTGACTCAGTCAGCAGTGACAGTGTCTGGTGACAATCGCAGGTCAACCTGTTCATCTTCCTGCCGCGGCCCATCATCACTCTGAGCATCACTTACTGGCCTCACAGTTTATTGTGATAATAATAATACATGGCTCATGTCAGGACAGACTCACTGTCGTAGAGCAGGGCTGGGGGGGTGAAATTATGTGAGGAGTGCTGGAGTTGTCACTGAGTCTGGAAGATAGAAAAAATAGCTTTTGTTTTATAATAAATTAAGGGAGGGGTTCTCAGCTACAGTGTGTGCCGTTTAACAGTGGCAGTTCTAGGTCAATTGTGCAGCCCCCCCCCCCACTATGTCAGGTTACAACTCATTATATATTATAATGGTTTATTCTTTTGGAGGGGGGCTACAAGGAGGTCCAAGCACAGTGTTACAGGGGCACTGGAACCCCCCCAGCCGTGCATGCATTTAAAGGCAAACGGTCTACCAAGCTGTAATATAACAGCATACATCTAATGACAAGAAAGAGTGAGCAGATCTCCACCATACACCAAAGTGCTGGTTCAAATGAATAACCATATGTAGCTTTCTTAAGGTTTCATCCATGATGGCAGAGACAGCTTACAACGTCTAAACATAGAGAGCAAAATTCACCAAGTAGTCACATATACAGCATAAAGACACACAGAACAAAATACACTCCAGAATATATTGGCAGTTTGTACACAGTTTCAAAAGAACATGGTTTGATTTTGTCAAGACAAGTTTCATTACAGGAGTTTGACTCAAGTCCAAAAGTTGAACTTAAACTGATGATGAAACTGATTTCTGGGTAAAAGGCTAACATTAAGTGGAAACCAATATTTCCAAAAGTAATCAATCACCGCTGAACAACTAACATTTGATCAAAAGGAAAAATATGTGTAAATAGTATTCTAAATATTTTGGTAATGATTTGATGTCCCAGACTACAATTATTTTTCTGAAGACCTAATATAAATTAAAATCTTTGTTTGGTACAGATCCTCTTAAAAAAATCCCCAAATGATCAATCCCGTAAGCAATTGCAAAATATGTCAAAACTAATTTAAAATCGTGCAGCCCTATAATCAATTATTGTAACAGAAATGTAAAACTTAAATCACAAAGCCCCAGGGTGAACCAGGGTTTATGGCTTTGATATTTATAGCCAAGGACTTTTGTTGGAAATCTTGAACAAAAAAAAGGATATAACAAAGTAATGTACAAAGGCTTAAATAATAAAACAAAATAGAGAAAATAAATGTCATACACATACAGATCACAATACCATCTGTGATAAACACTCTGAGAGCTGGGGCTTGTAAGGATGTGAAAGACAATGATCAGCAGTGTTCTCTCAGTGTATCAGCTGACGCTTCACCGTACTGTCGTGCAGTATGCAGCACCATGTCAGCACTACAGCGTGACATAATGCTGACAAACACCAATACATCTGACCCCACATACACTAAGAGAAAACAGGCACTTCAAATACTTACACACCATTTTTCAGAAATTAAGATAAGCATGGAATAATTACATTTCAGCTGGCTTTTGAAAGCATATGCACTTATCCATAGGGTGAACATTACCTCATAATCCAAATGTTAGGGATGTAGGTGACACTGTGTGGTAGAGGAGCAGGTGGACCCAAAGGCAGGAAGACCAAATAATAAATACCTTTATTAAAAGGCTTGGTCAGAGGCCACCTTTACATTTCTAGCGGTTTATCTTTTAGAAAGAAAACAAATATTTCACATGAAAATTCACGTAGTTATTTATTTAGGTGTTAGGGAAGAGATAGCACGCACATACTGTAAGACAACATTTTTATAATTAGTTCATAATATCATAATTGATATACTAGTATCTGGTACATTTGACAAAAATAGATGTATTACAGTCTTTGTCGCTGTGTCTGGCGTTTAGTACAGTAGAAAACAATTTGAGAGTATGACACTGAATTCACAATTTGTATTCTGTGTGTGTGTGTGTGTGTGTGTGTGTGTGTGTGTGTGTGTGTGTGTGTGTGTGTTTTCAGGGTGGTTACGCTGCCTACAGATATGCCCAGCCTACTGCTGCCACAGCTGCTGCATACAGTGACAGGTAAGATTTTAACTCAATGACACATCAAAATGTAAATTATTACCATTGTCATTATTATTATATTTAAAGGTCAAAATCAGATATCATGACCAACAGACCGGACTATCATCATGGTATCATTTCACAGTTACACTGACTTAGTAACCCTAACCCTCACACTGAAAATCCTTTGTAATTCATGCATGCTTTTTAACAGAAATGTACAGAAATTAAGAAAAATATTAATTCACTCTTGCTTCAGCTACAGCAAAACTTTATTTAACAACTAATTGAATACATTTACAGTAAGGGAGAGTGGGGTAAGATGAGCGGGTTAGAGTCCGGTTGCTGAATATGCATCCATACCCTAACCCTTCTCTAACCCTAACCCTGACCCTTTGCTTACCTTAACCAAGCTTTTTAGTTGCAATATTTAGTATATATATATATATATATATATTACAATATTTCCATTTACACCTATACTGTAGGAGCCATGTGCAGACTATGCATAATTTCAACTTGTTTCCTAGAAATGGGGCTGGGTAGGGGTCTAACGGTTCACAGCATTCACGGTTTGGAATGTACCTCGGTTTGGGGGTCACGGTTCGGTACGGGTTCGGTACAACAAGGAAAAGCAAAAAAAAGTCCCAAATGCATAATTCCAGGTTTGTTTTTTATTTATTTTGAACAGTAGTGCAAGTTTCAGTTTAAAAAATAAGGAACCTTTTTTTTACATTACATTACATTGCATTTAGCTGACGCTTTTATCCAAAGCGACTTACAATAAGTGCGTTCGACCAACAAGATACAAACTTGAAGAAAACAGAATCATAAAGTACATCAGGTTTCAAAGAGCAAAAACATTTCAAGTGCTACTCAACTGGCTTTAGATAAGCCAGCCCTTTATTAGTATATAAGTGCTTTGTTAATAGTTCTATCGATCGAAGTGGAGTCGTAAGAGATGAGTTTTCAGTCTCCCCCGGAAGATGTGTAAGCAATCTGCTGTCCTGATTTCAATGGGGAGCTCATTCCACCATTTTGGAGCCAGGATAGCAAACCCACGTGTTTTTGCTGATGGGAACTTGGGTCCCCCTCGCAGTGCGGGTGCAGCGAGCTGTTTGGCTGATGCAGAGTGGAGTGCACGTGCTGGGGTGTACTGTTTAACCATGTCCTGGATGTAGGAAGGGCTCCATTCGCAGCATGGTGCGCAAGTACCAGTGTCTTGAAGTGGATTCTAGCAGTTACCGGAAGCCAGTGAAGGGAGCGGAGGAGCGGCGTGGTGTGGGAGAATTTAGGAAGGTTGAAGACCAGACGAGCCGCAGCATTCTGGATGAGCTGCAGAGGTCGGATGGCACATGCAGGTAGACCAGCCAGGAGGGAGTTGCAGTAGTCTAGGCGTGAGATGACGAGAGCCTGGGCCAGAACCTGCGTCGCTTTCTGGGTCAGCTGGGGACGTATTCTCCTGATGTTGTAAAGCGTGTATCTGCAGCAGCGGGTTGTAGCAGCGATGTTTGCAGTGAAGGACCAGTTGTTATCTAGGGTCACACCCAGATTCCTTGCAGTCTGAGTCGGGGAAACAATAGAGGTGCCGATGTTGATTGTTAAGTCAAGAGTGGGACAATCTTTTCCCGGAAGGAAAAGCAGTTCAGTCTTGTCAAGGTTGAGCTGGAGGTGATGATCAGACATCCACTGAGAGATGTCAATTGGGTGTCGTCAGCGTAGCAGTGGTAAGAAAAACCATGCGGGCTAATGACTGATCCGAGCGAGTTTGTGTACAGGGAGAAGAGGAGGGGACCAAGAACAGAGCCCTGAGGGACCCCTGTAGTTAATTGACAAGGGTCGGACTCGGACCCTCTCCAAGTTACCCTGTAGGTACGGTCTTTGAGCTATGAGGTGAGGAGGGAAAGTGCAGAGCCTGAAACTCCAAGTTTTTGAAGAGTGTGAAGGAGGATCTGGTGATTCACTGTGTTGAATGCAGCAGACAGGTCCAGAAGGATGATGACAGAGGAGAGGGAGGCTGCTTTAGCCGTGTGCAGTTCCTCAGAGACAGCAAGGAGGGCAGTTTATGTTGAGTGACCTGCCTTGAAACCAGACTGGTGCGGATCCAAAAGATTGTTCTGATGGAGATAACAGTAGAGTTGTTTAAAGACAGCGCGTTCAAGTGTTTTAGACAGGAACGGGAGGAGAGAGACAGGCCTGTAGTTTATAACATCAGACGGGTTGAGAGTGGGTTTCTTTAGGAGAGGGTTTACTCTTGCCTCCTTGAGACTGTTTGGAAAGTGACCAGAAGTTAGAGAAGTGTTGATGAAATGGGTGAGAAATGGTAGAATATCAGGAGCGATAGTCTGAAGGAGGTTTGAGGGGATAGGGTCCAGAGGACAGGTGGTAGGACGGGCAGAGGTAATGAGGGTAAGAACCTCACTTGGAGAGAGAGGGGAAAAGGAGGTTAGTGTGTGGGTGAAAGGAGGGTCTGGTGACCCAGCGGTGAGTAGAGGTGAGTCAGAAAAAGAAGAGCGAATATCATCAACCTTTTTTTCAAAGTGGTTAACAAAGTCGCTTGACAGAAGGGAGGAGGGGGAAGGGGCTTTGGGGGGGGTCCAAGAGGGTGGAGAACAGTTAAAAACAAACAGTACCACACACACTCAGATGGCCATATTATCTACAGTATAATGGCTGATGTCAAACATAAAGGTTCAATAAGCTGTAAAACTAAAAAGAATGTCTTGAAAATATTACAAAATAAATAATAAGATGGTGTTTCAATCACTTTCAATCACAATCAATAAAAGCCGGGTCCTCCACTATTAAATAAGGGTGCATAGTCGTTGAAAAACATATGCCAAAAGCTTCCGTTATTTATTTTGGTCTCTCGGCTTTCATGTCTATTGGCTTCTTAAAAACAGCGGGGAGAAGCTGTTGAACTGCTGCTGTATTTTGCCGGGCTCCGGTTATTGCCAAATCTGGGTGATGCCTTCTGATATGATTTAGCATGTTTGGCGTGTGTTACCATTAGCATACCGCACCGCTGTCGAACAACGCAGCCACACCGTCCTCGTCCGATCCACCACCCGAAATGTTCCCACACAGCTGATTTAAAAGAAGCAGGTGGTTATTCTAGCTCCTGTGTGTTATCTGAACTCGCCATACTAACTTTTCTTCTTCTTGTATTTTGTTCGTTTTGTTGTTTTCTTCTTCTTCTTCATTTGTTATTTAAGGGTGGCTGGCAAACAGCTTTTAGGCGCAATACCGCCCCCTGGATTATATATAGTGTAGTGCAGGGGTGCCCAACCTTTTTTGAACCGAGAGCTACTTTTAAAGTTGCCAGTCTGACAAGATCTACCAGTCCAAATAGAGAGGCGTAGCCATTACTGACAGCCTACTACCAGGTAAATACACACTTCTACTTGTATAAAACTGACCTTTGTACGATGTATACTTCATAAAATACTGCAGATCCTTTATCTTACCTCTTTCTAATCTACACACATACAAGTATTTAACTGAAGTTACACAACAGTGTTGTTGATACAGAGTTGGAGTTTATTCACATGTCACATACTACAGTGGGTAATGTTTTCAAGAAACATTGAACAGTGCTGCCACATATGACACAGGAAAAAAGAAAATACTCTGAACCCTTTCTTTGCCATTATATAAAAATTGTGTTGCTTCAAAAGTATCAATTTAAGTTTGCATTCTTATACAATTTTGTACAATAATTATAATGAATAAGTTCAAACAAACTAAAACTTACAGCTGATTAATAACGGTATCTAACTTGAGTTTTTATTATATCAAAAACCTGTTGAAATGCTACTGTTATTTTTACTATCCCCAAAAAGCCCGTCGGCAGCCTCCAGGAATGCTTCTTTCACAACTTCGCCGTCTTTGAAATACTTCATGTGTTTCGCAAGAACGTGACTGACACGATAAGATGCTATGGTAGCAGCCTTGCTCTTGTTGTTGGGCCGGGTGAAAATGGAGTGCTGTGCATTTAGCTGTCCTTTCAGGCCCCTCCCCTTTTGGGAGCGTAGGGCAGAATTAGGAGGGAATTCCGTCTCGTAGCGTTTGTGCACTGTTTTGAAATGCCGCTCCTAAATTACCCTTCTTCGATAAAGCCACGCTCGCATTGTAGATGAGACAGATGGACTTTGAATTGGAATAGATACAGAAATAATCATCCTCCCACTCGGAGTGAAAATGATATATTTTGGGCTTTTTTGCTTCTGCCATAATTGCGGTCTTGTGTGTGTGCGGACTGTCACTCCTGTTGACACGGACAACGTCAGCGAAATAGTGCCCACTGCCCACCAGCCACGCCCCCACACATGGGGTCACGCCGGCCAATCACAACGCTTTGGTGCGTTCAAGTGCATTATTCTGGCACGGGAAGATTATGTTATAGGACATTAACGATAAAACAGAATATTGTTATTCAATTTTTAGACACATCTCGCGATCGACTGGGAATCTCCCCGCGATCGACCGGTCGATCGCGGGGAGATTCCCAGTCGATCGCGAGATCGAGATCGACTGTCTGGGCACCCCTGGTGTAGTGGATACTGCCCTGAATGACAGACTTTTTTCCCACTCGTAACAAAAAGGCGTATTCGTCATGTGATTGCATGCACCGAACCGTCACGTCCGAACTGTGACGGTACGGGACGAATACGGATACCGTTACACTCCTAGGGCTGGGTGCACTAACTGAAGGAAAACCCATCCATACTCATTGTATTGACCCACCCCCCCCTTCATACATTTGATATACAGTAACAGCAGGCCTAGTGTCATATGCAGTAGCACCACAAAGAGCCATTCAATCAATCAATAGGATACGGCTATAGTAGGCCTAGGGCCTTTTAGTCGCTCATAAATAGTAGATCACTGTTCTTTATATACTGTACTATGGATGCTGGCAACAGTCACATAGTCCAAAGGGAAGGTGATGCTTGACCAGTAATGGTCGAGGCAGGATTTGAGACAGTTAACAGTCTTGGATTTGACACTAACCCTAA